CTTCCTTCCTTCCTTCCTTCCTTCCTTCCTTCCTTCCTTCCTTCCTTCCTTCCTTCCTTCCTTTGCTTAAGGGGATATCCTGGTGGCTTCTGGGCATCTCCCTAGAACTTGGACCTTTCTCCCCACCCTGCCCCCAAGCATGACAGAACGTAGTGAGATAAACATCCACTGAGGGCAGCACAGTGTTAAGAGGGCATGGGAGTGAGTACTGACTAGGGAGTCTCTCCCATCCACCACCACAGGAATCCAGAGAATCCGGAGACACAGAGACGAAAGAAGCGGTGCTCCTAACAGGGGACCTGGCTTAGGTCACACCAAGCCAGTTTCTGAGCACCACTTGGTACATCAAAAGGAAAAGAAACTGAAAGCCACTACCCAAGCTTATATTTTCCAAAATGACCCATTGTACCATTGTGCCTGTTAAATATCTTCCAGTTGGGCTAGGTTAATTTATACACTTAATTGAAAAAAAAATCAATGAAGACTAGGAGGGAAGTAATGGTTAGGGTGTTTGATATGTGAGCATAAAGGCTTGAGTTCCTATCTCCAGCACCTGCATAAAATGCTAGGCATGAAGGTGTGAGCCTGTAGTCTGCTGGGGAAGCAGAGACGAGAGGATCCCTGGAGTTCACTGAGCAGGCAGTCCAGTGGAATCTGTGAGCTGCAGGCTCAGTAGAGAGACTCTGCCTCAAAAATAAGGTGTGAGGTGATAGAGGAAGATACCCAGCATCAATTTCTGGTCTATCCACACACACACAAGGCACACATGTACACATGTAGATACTCATACAGCTTGAACACACGCACACACATGCACATGCACATGCACCAACAACAAAAGAGAAGAAAATGAAAATCGTTTTTTACCATATAGGCAACTTCTACTATCACTAAAATACATACATATATATACATATATATGTATATATATGTGTGTGTGTGTGTGTATTTATATTCCAGCATATGCATATATGATATGTTTCTTTTTAGAAAACAAATGGTCCTGGGTTTGATTCTCAGTACCACAAAACAGAAATGGAAGCACACAACACATCTCATTTTCAAAGAGCTTTCATTAGTCAATTTCCTACAAAACTATTTCACATCCACACACGAACATACGGACTTCTGAGTACTTCACTTTACATATACACTGCATATTTTTGACTTCATGTCCTCTTATAAAGAAAATTTTAGTTGTATCCTTGCCACTGTGATAGTCACAGACATAAACTACTGCTTATTTGCAGACCTTTCCTGTAGAAACAATTCTTGAAAGTGGCCTTTCTGTATCAAAAATCTGTGAGCTTTAAGTTTCTGAAAATACTACTCAAGCTGCTCTCAGAGGTTTAAGGATGAGTGAGTATTTCTCACACCCTCAAGACAACATGCAGTCAAACTATAATCCTTACCAGGTACAGAGGTTTGTTTGTTTGCTTGCTTGCTTACTTGATTTGTAAGTTATGTCAAATGCACTTTTGATAGGGAGAACAGTTTTCTGCGTGTGAGTGTTATTACTGAGGTGTACATAACTGTTCTACATCTGTACAGTCCCACACTTTCTGAATTGCATAGTCAAGGAGCTCCCACCACCAGCCAGGTGCACCCACACTCCAGAACTTGGGATGCTCCGTTATACTCAGCCCCCTTCCACCACAGGCACCCCTGGCAACAGTTGCCCATAGCGTAACACCTCTGAAATCTAGCCACATTGTTACAAGTACAGTAGTTTAATTCTTTTATTACTGAGTCGTATTCAGTGTTCTGTATGTGCCATAATTTATTTATCCATTCTCCGGATGATGGACATCTGGGTGCCTTCCAGTTGTAGCTGCTCTGAATACAGCTACTACAAACATTTGCACAGAGGCTTTCTCCAGACTACATTTTTATCTCTTTGGTAAATGTTGTGTCCACAAACAGGACTAGGTCAAAACCGACAAGAACAGACCAATGGTGAGAATGTTTTCCTTCAGATGAGAATGTTTTCCTTCAGATGAAATGGTCAAATTGCCTTCCAAAATGTCAACGTCCATTTGCATTCCCACCAACAGAA